TCAAAGAAAAGCAATCATCCACTTTATTGAAAAAACTGACCAAGTATCAGAGACAAAAGTAGCCAAATATGAAGAAAATTATATGGAATGATTAAGAAAATAAATATTTTCTAGTTTTCCATGTAAAATTAAAATTTTAGTACTAACCATTTTGACTTGTCTGCTCAAAATATATTAGTGTCAAATATCATACCAGTGCAGCAGAATACCTACCAAGGGAAGGACAGCAAGACATATTCATTGCAACTATTTAATAATTTCCTATTGTCCTAACAATTTCCTGTTTCCTAATGTACCTTTATTGTTATACTGTTATTTTATTTACTGTAGTGATCAGCACAGATGATCTTCAGTTAATGTTTGTGCAATATTCAGCTTTTATGATATTGTCACCTAGACTTTAATCTACCTTCTTGTCATCCAGAATATGAGAAATATGTCCTAATTCCATCATCCAGAAATATACTGAAGTTCTAGAGTGTATGTGTCTATGTTAGCATATATGTATTTAAAAATGTGTGTCATGTCTTTGTATGCATCCACCTTTGAAAGGAGTTACTTTTGTCTTCTTTCCACTCAATCATCTACCACATGATGAAGGCATAGACAGCATGTTAGAGCTATAACTAAAACCAACCAAAAACGTCTGTCATAAAATGAAGTTTCTCAGGTTTTCTAAATGTGTATTTTTTCCATTAATTAAATTGATCTGAGGTGTGAAAGGCCAGTGCACAGTTCTGGTAGGTGACAGGTTTAAGGATCAACCTCTGCAACAAGTTATGAATTGCAGTTAGGGCTGTATCATAGCTAAAGAGGGTCAATTTGGGAAGCTTTCCAGGAGGTTATTTATCTAGCTTTGGAATATACTCAGTAGTGAGCTCTATCGATACATGGGTGGAAGGGGCATTTTAGACATTTGGTTTCAGTTTCTAAACCATGAGCCTTTTTATTTCTGCTAACCGATACACTTAAAATTCCTGCTCTGATAAGCAGGTTGCTGATCTAAGGGTTGAAAATCAGTACTAGCACTCATGGTGACCACCTTACTTCATGAATGCATCCTAAGAAGTAGAAGTCAAATGTGTTTGAAGGCAGTTTATTTCCTTTCAATTTCGTTCAACTTCAAATATATGTTATAACGTGCAGTTGCACTGTAAAGGATGCAGAGGATGACTCTACTGTCTGCTTTTCTATAGTCACCACTGTGTTTAGTATGAAGAGACAAAAATAGTACCAACTGTATTTATAACACTC